AGAATAAAACCATATTGCTATATATCTGTTGTATGAATTGAAACGGCTGTATTTTATATAGAAAATATCCGATTTGAAATAGAAAAAAAATTTACTAGTCCGAATATCTAAGGATATATCTCCTGATCATACTCAATCAGAAAATGACTGATCAATTGAAAACGTTTCTTCATAAATTGCATAAAATTATAGTATCAAATTTCAAAAAACAATAAATAGATGATATCAATTTTCAATTGGATATTCTATGAACTATTTCAAAATAAGTGTATGTAGTAAATATATTTACATGAAAGAAATGATTAAGTACATGAAAAAACAAATCTAAAATAAAGGCATTATATGCTAGAGAACTTCCAAATCGACATGTCGTAAGTATGGATGTTTTTTCTACATGAAAAAAAAAGAAAAAATTTAATCAAGAAAAGACTAATAAATAAAAGAATTTTACTCGAAGATTACGTTCGATACGATCAATTTCTGCTCCAACTCTATCAACAACTTTTTCTCCATGTTTAAGAAGAAATATTTCAAGTGATTCATTTGTATCAATTTTTTGAATTTCCTTAAATAAAAAAATCATAAATTTTAAAAAATAAAAATAAAATAAATTCTACTATTTCAAACTTTAAGAAGAAGTTCAATATCAAGTCTTTCTAAATATGATCGAGTTATTTCTCTTCCATCTATATCAACTTCAGCTTTAAACATAACTGATTGTGAACCCATATCTGTGGCTTTAATATCATATAAAGCACTAAAATTAAATTAAATTAAATTAAATCTATTAATTCAATATACAATAATTATTTACCGAACCATTCGATCATTTTCTAAATCATTATTAATTGCTTCAATCTGATTCGGATGAATTGATCTTTAATTAAAAAACATTTCTTTTTAATATTTTGTTGTCAAAAAATTCATTCAATTTACCGTCCAACAAGTGCAGCTGTATTTGAATAAATAATAAAAGAAGCAACACCACCTAAGATACAACCAATAATAAGTGATCCAATAGCATCTGGAATAGGTGAATGAAGATAAAGTGAAAGACCCATAGCTGTACCAGCTACACATACACCTAAAACAGCTGCAAGATCTTCCAATAGAACAACATTTACATTGGGTTTATATCCTTGATTAACTTTCATATAGCAAAAAAACAAAAAACAATCTTAATAAAAATAATAAAGAAATTTCAATACCATATTCCCAAAATTTCATGTCACTTTCTTTAGCTGCTGCTCGAATTTCATTAACAGCCATATAAAGTGTTGCTATAAATAATAAAATTAATAATAAATAAAAACATTGAAAATCAAACCTCCTTCAGATATTAATGAACCACCTAAAAGTGTTAAACCCTTTAAAAAGTCAAAAAAACAAAAACATCACATTCAATTATTTTTTTAAAAATCTTTCTTTACCCAAAAGATAGATTCCATTTCTTGAGGATGTAATAATACTAATATACCATGATACCAAGCTAAACCTGTACCAAAACAAAATATTCCTACACCACTAATAAGTGATGATATATATGTCATATTTGAATAACCATAACTAAATAAGAAATTTTTTTTTTTTGATTATCAAAAGTTTATTTGTATTTACGGATGTGCAGGATTAGGTTTTTTAATTGATTTCCATAAACCAAATGTTAATATAAGTTGATTACATGTATCAGCAATGGAATGTACGGCTTCAGAAAATAATGAAGCTGAACCAGTAAATAACCAACCAATAGTTTTTACAACAGCATTTGTTGCATTACTAGAATTATTGAAATAAAAAAAAAACAAAAGATATTTAAATTAAATTTTCTTTCTTACATAAGAACAGCTGCAACAACTACTTTTCCACTACTCGTTGTAAGAACATTTCTTTTAACCTAAATAAATTATAAAATATTATTTATTATTTGAGAAGAATTATTTTCGTTTACTGATTTTCGATTATCAAATGATGCATTTTCTAATAATGATAAACGTTTTTGATGTTCTGTAATGAATCTTTTTAAAACAAATTTAGCTAGATGAAAAATAAAACAAAAAGAATAAGTTTTGAAAATAATTCAAACATACCAAAAGTAGTGCCGAAGATACTTCAATACCGTATAGAAACTTTCTCTTTCTATATGCATTCATAGTAAAAACTAATACTCTATATTTCATCATTCTTTACTTAATATTATAATCATAGAAACTGCTAGCACAATCTATGTGAAATTAAAATGTGAAACACGATGTAGTTGGTCTTATTGTCACCATTTTTTTTACTTAATCTTCCAGAAATTCAATAAGGAAATAGTTCATATATTAGAACGAGACGTTATTCATATACGGTCTTTGATCGAACATCAACAACATCTTGCATAGTGGGACGTTGTTAAGACGTCTGTGGGATGGAGTTTTACATATCAAAATTTCATGGATGGACTACAACGGTAAAGCTTCGAAGAAATCGGATACGATAGTTTTCAGGTCCCAGAACCGATTTTTAACAATGTCATTTTAAAGAGCACAAAATGTGTGGTCCCCAGATTTCCTATGATCTTCCCTTAGGAAGTTAAAAATATTACAAAAACATGAAATTAATCAAAAAACGTCTTTTCTCGATTTTCGTGATACTTTTAACATTTTAGGGAAAGGTTGTAGAAAATGTTGGAAGCCCTCATTTTGTGTTCTTTCACATGGCATTGATGAAAAATAGTTTCTGCAACTTGAAAGCTACATTGTCCGGTTTTTTAGAAATCTTGTGCTCATAGTTTATTTATGAAATCTTGCTATAGAAAACTCCATTGGATATTAAAATAACTATTTGGATTTGAACTAAGTACTTCATATTATAGAAAAAAAAAATGAAATCCCACTATCTTAGGTTTCTTTTCATAACAACGTTGATTGAAAACTTTGAAATCGCAAAGTAAAAAATGAATAATATATAATTCCATGCGTCTTCATCTCCTATTTCTAGTAGTGAAAACTGCAGTTCTCCATCTTAGTTCTATCAAAAGTTATTCAAAATACTTAAGTATTATCGTCACGTATTATAACCAATGGTTTCTATTGAAATTTTATTATTATAATATTAATAAAAGAATGAGATGACATATAGAATATTAATTTTACTATTAGCACATATAGAAAGAAAATTTCTTCAACCTTTCTATACGATGTTGAAGTACTTGTGTCACTACTTTCGGTACGCCTTAACTGTTGTTTTTTTTTTGTTTAAACACATACCTTCATCTTCATCTTGTAGAGCTTTAGTACGTTTAGCTTTTTCTTTGCATAAATTTTCTGGACTACCCCATACTTCATAAGCTCTTATAAATAAAAATAAAAATGAAATTTTTTAAATTTATCTATTTATTTATACCGTTTTTCGACATCACCCCGTCGATAAACTGTAAGCATACGTGAACTATCCGCAACATCTGTATAAGGTGAACGTGTTTTATATTGTTGAAGTGTTTCTAAATCTCTACACAAAAAATAGATACATTTAAATATTTCTTTGTAGTTATAAATCAACTCACGATGGATTTAATAAATACTCATGCATAGCTCGTATGGGTGTAATAAGTTTATTATCTGTATAATTTTCAGTAAAATCAGTTGTTTTTATTTTACGTGAATGATCTAAAAATGAGCAGATGATTTTGTTATTAATATTATATTTAGATTTAAACCTTTTGATATTGTTGTTATTGTAGATGCATTTTTATCTGATGAAACTGATTGATTACTATTAATATTTGAAGGTGGTGTTGAGCTAGATTGTGTTCGTTTTGATAATCTATGGACATTTTGTCGGAATAATAGATCATATCGGTAATGATAGAATGAACTGCAAGCAAATAAAAAGGTCAGCTGGAATATATTTTTATTAATAATAACAAATTATCTCACCTTGATGAAAAAGTACGAAGAATATTATGTTGAATATTATATGTGAATATTATATATGTACTTTTTAATGATAGATGTGCTATAGATAATTATAAAGGAAAAATTAAAATAAAATTGAGAATAGACTAAGAAGAAATTGATTTAATTGAAATATGTTGTAATACTAAACTAAATCAGATTGCCGTTACGAAGAAATTAGGTTAATTTGGACATATTATGACACTAAACTGAATCAGAATTCTCTCGCTCAATTGCTTGAATCAGCCATTATAAAGATTAGTGTTTGTCATAATCTGGTCATTTACGAATAGAATTCTATCTAATTATATGCTCATTATATATAATCATGATTCTTAAGTCTGAATTTGTCACTTATCATAACTTAGTCTCTTTAAAGGAAATGACACCTAAAAGAATTTCAAGAACGTTTTATTATATATGACATAATATAGAATTCAAAAATTTCATCTAGATTTATTGAATCAGTTTATTTTTCAGTGAAAAATGATTTTGAAAGTATATTCATAAAGCTAATATTATATTTGTATGAAAGGCCAATAATGTTCAATTAAAACAAAAAGAAAATGGCAGCAAATCTTCATTATATTTCATACTTGATACACTTATTAAAATTCCATTGAACCAAATTATACCAAAAATCATTATCTCAAATATTCAAATTTATTAATCAACAATCTTTAGATATTTATCTTCATTTAATTTAATGAACTCAAATTAACTAAATTTTAATTTTTTGAATCAATTTAAATTCATCTTACTCTTTCTTAATATTGATTGTAAACCATATTGAACAAACATTATTTTTCTACTATATAATATTCATGAATAATAAAATAACTATTTTCAATAAATCATCTAAAAAAAAGAAAGAAAAAGAAAAATGATTGAGCTTGAATAGTTCCTCATAAAAGGATATATATATATATATATGTTGTTGAATTTTCAAGCTTTTTTTTTTTTTTTAACAATTTCACACACACATATAGAGAGAGAGCGAATGTTAAAAAAATGATTGTTCAAATATATTGGAACTAACAAAACACAAAAAAAGAAGATTCATCATTATACCATTGATCGACTTTCACATAATCTATCGACAACCTATAGAAAAAAAAATAACAACAAAATAATATTTTTCTTTCGTATATAACAAAAAGTTTATAATACTAACTTGTCGAATACCGGGTAATAATAAAATTGAACCGATAATTGGCAAACGTCGAAGAAAATTAATTGCAATAGGAATGAAACCGCTACAAAAAAAAAAAAAAAACAAATTAATTAAACAAATAAAAATACTAAACTAACCCAAATAGAAGAAAAAATCCATATAATTCAAAAATCATTCCAATCAATGGCCAACCAATTAAAACAACTGTAATACCACCAAAAAAAAGAAATGTAGCCTTAATTTTTGTACGTTGAAAAAAAAATCGAAATGTACGTTCAAATCCAATAATCATACTTAAACCAGCAAGAAATAAAATCTAATCAAAAATAAATACTCTATAATAATAAAATACTATCAATTATTATTAATATCTTACATTTCCAACTGCAAGTAAACCTTTATCAAATAATAAAATCATACCAAAAAAAATAAAACCAACACCAAATATTGACAGACCGAGACCGATCTCTATTATAAGAATAGAAATAATTTTTATAAAAATAAGAGAATTTTATTTTTACTTTGAAAATCTGACAATTGTATTGGCATTGTACTAATTAATATATATTTATGCTATTGAATTATTTTACGTATGAATATCTTATTACAGTTTTATAAGTGAACAACTTAAAATACATTTCTAAATGAATCAAAATGACACGTAAGCATTGAGTTGATGAGCTGTTATTGTATCTGACCTATTTTGGAATGGCTAAATCCAAGGTTTATTATTAGTAAACGAATAGAGATGATCATCGATAGATGTCCTCTTTACATAAAGTGTGTACCAGGTGTTCTCGACCTGAACGAAAATTGATTTATATATAAAGAAAGAATGATCCCTATCGGAGACTGAAAACGAATTAATCCGAACAGTGGCGGATTTAGAGGGAGCATTAGAAGCGATCATCTAGCTTTCAAAAGATTTTTCTCGATTTTTTTCCATTAGAACAAATTTAAAAACGAGCTGATACTATCTCTAATGAGCTTCAAAACACGTTTTATGCTCATGATTTCCCACCATAAAAATCCTAGATCCACCACTGGATCTGAACCAGACCTAATTTTCAAAAAGATAGTCGAGCGGAATCAAATCTCGAATGAACAAATAATTGATTGAATTATAATCGGTTTTGTAGAAATGTAATGTGCAATCGACGAAAATAAAACGAGCTTTGATTGATCATTTGACATTCTTGATTTGATTTCTATATAATACAGCCTTTTTTTTTCACTTCACAACAGTTACATACTAATTGTATTTATGACGATAGATCACTTCTATGCTACATAATTCTTTTCTTTTAGATTTCTGTATTGCGATGAATAGTCGTCTGTAATTTTGCATGATTATATATTAACACTGAGAAAAAAAAAAGCAGTGATACTTATGCACTAATATTACAAAATTTATTTTAATCCACAAGTCTATTAAAGAATATTAATTTGCATCGATATCAACTCTAATATGACACCCTAATCGTCCAAGAAAGAAGTTCTAACAACCTATCTTCTACTCCTGATTAGGGAAAAACAGTGCTACTCGAATCGAACCAGAGAAACCTGATTCGATTTGATCTCTGATTCCTATTCCACTATATCTATATGAACTTCGAGTACTTAGAACGATATTTTAAATAAGGTGTGGGGGTGGGTATGTAGAGTCACATTTTCGAAACCCAACACCCACCAACAACTGCACTCACACCCATATCCTGGTCAGGATAGAGAAAAATAGGCAAAAGTCGCTACTTTTGGACGCACTCCACATGATGAGTCATCATCATATAAAGATTATTTGAGCTCTTAAAGGAAAAAACTTTCGCTGAAAGTGCTTTCGCTGTTTTTGGCATTTGTTGTCAGCTTTTTTGCTACTTTGTACTTTCGCCATTGTACATTTTCGCTGAAATAAATTTCCACTGTACTGTTTTTTTGCTGCTTTTTTTCGCCGAAAAAACTATTCGCTGAAATGTTTTTCGCTGAACGGACACCGGTTCATCTTCTCGTTAATAAAAATCTTGTTCTTATGAGAGAACATTTTCAACTGATCAATCACTTTTGAATTCAGACTCTGTGTATAAGGTAGACTCCAGTAAGATGCGAAAAACCTTCAAAGGATAAGTTCACTTAAGCTTTCTGTTCAGAGTTATAGGTATTTTAGCCTATGGCATGGTATATAGCAACAAATCAAATGACGGTATTTCGACTTGAGATTTTTTTTTCTACAGAGTTGTTTATTTGTTAGTAGAAGTCTCAAAAAAAACAGAAAATTCTAGCATGTTCCATGGAGTATGAATGATTTTTGGAACTTTATTATCTCGCGGAGGAAACATTCTTTTGAGCTGAAATTTTCAGAGCATTCTACTAGCAAATAGACTTGTCTATGGACAATATCTCAGGTCGAAATACCATCATTTGATTTGTTGCTATATACTATGCCATAGACTAAAATACCTATAACTCTGGGCAGAAGGTCGAAGTGACCTTATCCTTTGAAGGTTTTTCACATCTCTCACTGGAACCTTCCTTATGCACAGAGTTCGAATTCAAAGTGATTGATCAGTTGAAAACGTTCTTTCGTTAGTAGGACCTATGGCAATTTTATTATATTTATAATATTCACTTTTAGTGGTGTTGATCACATTTTCAACGGCATTCAACCAATTATTCTTTTCTCTTTATTTAATAGAAGATACGGAGGTGTAGTAACTCTTTTTTTTTTTGATATTCTCTTTTCGCTAATCTTCGAACATAAATAGAGTCAAAAAATAAGCTATTTCTTACGGTGATAGACTACTACTAGAAATGCGTCACCAAACAATTGTTATAGGAAAAAGCAATTTTTTTATGACGCTAGATTTTTTCAGGAACCTTAATCATACTTTCAATCAAAACTTGAATAAAAGAATTGCTTCTATAATTACTTTATTCTATGAAATTTGTCGATTATAATTCCAATGAATTCCATCGAATAAGTTTTAATACCTTATAGATATTTATTTCAATTTATAATTAGTATTAATTGACAAATACAATAAAGAAGAAACAGAAGAAAGAAAAAATATATAAATACAAAAATGATAATTTTCTGTTTTGTTTTATTAATTACTTATTCATACTTCTTCAAATAGATGTACAAATTCTTCAAAACTAATTTTTCCATCATGATCAATATCTATTTGAGCTAAAGCATCAATAATTCGTTGTTCACTTATATTTTGATTTAATTGACGTAAAACTTTACGTAATTCTTCAACTGTAATATAACCTAATATATACAAATAAATATTTGTAAAAAAAAAAAAAAAAGTTTCTTTATTTTTTCTTCTACCAGAATTATCTGTATCGAAACATTTAAATGCTTGACGCATTTCATTTTCTGTAAATTTTCGTTCATAAACACTTCCCATTACTCTAATAAATTCTTCAAATTCAACTACATAGAAAATCAAATTTGTTTTTTTAAATTTTATTATTAAAAAAAAAAAAAGAAATCTACAAAAATAAAACTTACTAGTACCATTACCTAGAAAAATATTATATTTACAATATTCTATTTGTTTTTCTTTTCTTATATGAAAAATCACATACCATCAATATCCATTTCTTTCATGATTTTTCGAAGTAAACTATCTGTTGGTTTAAAATTTAAAGCAGTTAATACTTGTTGAAGTTCAGATGATGATATTGTTCCACTTCGATCACGATCAAAAAGATTGAATGTATCACGTAATTCTAATTTATGTTTTGTTTTTTTCAATGAATGAAGAAAAATAATTAATATCAATTTTTATTTTTCTAGTACCTTTTATTTGATGATTTGATAATTTTCCTTGTGTTCTCTAAAAGAAAATGAATTTTTTAGTTTTTCTTTTTGTTGAATTAAAATTTTCAATTTTATACTAACAGACATTTTGATTTGACCTTGTATGTTAAATTTCTTAAGTTGTATGTGTTTGATCTTTTCTTTTTTCTCTAATGTATGCGTCTGAGATTTTTTCTTCTTCTATTTGTTGCTCTCTTCTATTTTGCGTTCTGCTTTTTTTAATAACAATAATAAAAAACTTCAGGAGAAAAAACGTAGAATTAACAAGAATCACACTAAGCAGAAGTCGATGGAATAAATGGAAGAGAGAAAAGAAGAAAAAAAATATATGTGTAAAACGTAATTGATTCTAACACATATTTGATAAGAATTCTTTATCTTTCTCTACCGACAAGTTGCTATGAGATTTATTAGATGATATGATATCATACGTGTTGTTGTTTAATAATTTATTATTTTTCAATTTATCTAAAATATGCAATGAAGAAAATAAAATAACAAAGTTGATCTCTATTTAGATATCAGGAAAAAATTTCTAGGGAAAATTAATATTTACTGCGAGTATCTGCACAATATTTTCTAAGATAAACCCGATCGATAAGATAAGGTATGTCATACCTTGACATAATAAATATAGATTGTAATGGCCAAGATTTTTAGTCATGGGTGTGGGTTATCACGATAATCATCAGTCACAAAAAATGCTTGATAAAAATAAAAAAATATTTATTCTATTTGTTAGAATTGATGAGAATTTGTGCTAGAGAAAAAACACAAAGATATTAAATATTAACTAACGAAGTAATCATCCGAATTGACACTGACTGTTTAAGCTGATATTGACCTTTAGCCCCGTCGGATTAGTCCTGGGTCTGGATCCGAAATTTTTGGACCCGACGGGCCCTAATGATCCATAAGAACGTCTTGATGAGATTAGTAGAAACCTAAAATGGTGTTAATCCAGTTATGATCGTTTTATTGAATTTTTAACTTAGCTTTAGATATATACCGAAAAATTAAGAAAAAACCAATATTTCGACGGGTTGCATGACACGTAGAAAATTCTTAAAGTTTCAGTTGAAAAGAATGTTCCTTCATTGAGATATTGAATTTTCTAAAAAATAGTCATTTGCCAATAACACATCACAAAAATCGAGTTTACTTGAATATTCAATATCTCGACACAAGAATATTCTTTTCGATTGAAACTGTCAAGATATTCTTATAGTTCATCAGAGCTATCTATGGACGAAATTTTACGTTGAAATTCTGTTTTATGATTTTTTGGTGTATATCTAAGATTAGGTCAAAAATTCAGTAAAACGATCATAATATGCTTATAAATTCTTTTAGATTTTTGCTAGTCTAGCTAAAATGTCCTTCTGAGCGCAAATGATGGGTGTAAATTTGAATGGTTCTCTCGTGAAATAATAGTTGAACACTTCATTCTCAATGTTTAAATGTTGTGATCATTGTATATACTTATTTTGATTCAGAACAAATGAGATTATTTGTTTTTTTAGGAAATCTAATGCGGTTATAAAAGAAACAGAAGATGTGTGATTGTTTCAATATTCATAAAATTCCATGATTAACTGTCAGTCACAGTAATCTCTACAAGTAAAAATGAATATATAAGATAAGTTATTATTAGATATTTCAGTTATTATTATCAGCTTATAATCGGATAATTTGATATTTATAGAAACAGACAAGATGAAAAGCTTTTGAAGTGCATTAGACATCATAATTAAAATTAGCTTTCCTTGAATTTTTGACTAATAGTCACGTTTTTCTTAATTATAAAAGTTTGTACAGAGTTTTGTTTCCGTTTTAACAACATAAATATATAATGCTTTCATGATTTGCTCATAATATTTTAGACTTTCATTCAAATACAATTACAGAATGATTGCTTGATTGATAATTAGTGGTGTAACCAGAATTTTGATAGTGAGAGGCTTGAAGTTCAACTAGCGTGAGCTCGATCAGAAGACGCTTGAGAACTTTCCTCGTCAGTTCCTCTTGGTTACACCACTATTTACGATATATATGTTTCACAACATTAACACATCTAGAAAAATACAAAGCGGAAGGGTAAAAGAGAATACTAATTTTTTTTTTATCAAATTTATTCGTCATTGAGATTGTATGTCAAGTGCACACTACTATGAATATGTTAATAAATATAAGGAAGTATGCTCGCACACGGATGTCTATATTTTATTCCCATCTGCTTCAATTACGATGACGAACATATTTTATAAATCTGTGATTAGAAAAATTATGCTGCCGGTTTCAAATACTTATTATGAAGAAAGAAAACGAGGGAAATTTTATAAATAAATAATAGCTCCGTGACATATAATACTTATGTTATTACACTTCTCTTACCATGATACTTACTGAAGTCTGAATATTAAATAGAAGTTGCCATAAGGTTTATAGAGACAAGTCTTAACGAGAATAGTTTATTGTAAAAGTATGTCTTTCACATCACTCATTTATAACGATAGATTCGATATTCTTATTTCAAGATATTAGCAAATCAAAATACCTGAAACTTTTACAATAAATTACTCTCATTAAGATCTATCTCTATGCAAAGTTTTTAGTCTAAATTCGAAAACCAATTTTTCCAATGTTTCTAAGGGAGATCATGACTGTCATTTAAAAAATACTGTACAAGTGTAGTATTTTCGCATCAATAACCTAAGGGCTTGAGTTCTTTTCAAGGATACACATAACTCATTAGAGTCTACATGATACACATAGCTTCGATTCCAAAAGTAATTAATCAGTTAGGGAGCTTCTCTATCTCTCTCTCTCTTAGGATTGTCTCAGTTGTTGGAGTTATTTAAGTTCCGTGAGTCAAGCTTCGCTTTGAAGAGTTTCATGAGTTCGGAACTTATTTTCATCTATCTAACGACATCTATCAAAGCTCTAAATAAAATTTATTCGCTTTTTTTTGAGATCTTAAATTAAATTATAAATATTGTCATTCTAATATTCAATGAGAATATCCATAATAAACAATAAAATAAAATTCAATGAATGGTTGCAATGATACTAATCAAAAAGGAATTAAAATATGGCTGATTTTTAGTAATGATTTCATATTTGGTTCTATGCAATTTTTTCAGGTGAATCATAAAAATGGATCATTTTAAAAAACTCTATCATGAATATTGTAAAACTTATCATATTGAACCTAATGAATTACTTTTAGGTGAAATTCAAAAGTATAAAAATAAGCTTTCTATACAATAAAATAAAAAAAAAGAATTATTTTTCGATTATTTTTTGAAGAGTTTCTGGTGAAGATAATAAAACAAAAAGTTTAAATTTATCATCATTCAATATTCCTGAAGCACAATGTTCTATATTAGGAAAAATACTTACACATGATTTTATATTTACAAGTATTCATCTTAATGATTGTAATTTATCAACTGATGGTAAATTGTTAATTCTTATAATGTATATT